GTTCTCCAAGGATCTGTGAAGAGAAAAGCTGTAGAAAGACCTTCTGACACTCCTCAGAAGAAAAAGAAAACAGGTAATCATGCTGAAACAATACCTGTTTATAATTCTGAAAATATATCTGCATCTGCTGAATCCTCTCAAACCTCACCATCTGAACCCCTTGCTGACAACCTTAGTAAAAATCAGTTTTCAATAGATTTAAGTGATTCTAACTCTGATGAACATTCTGACAGCCAATCAGAACCCTCTCATTCAGAACCCCCTGAACCATCTGTTTTTCAACCTATTCCTGCTGAACGTTTCTCAAGAACCCCTCCCAGACCTTTATCACTCAGACCCACTGGATGGTATGATACTGAATCTTGGAGAATTCCTGGGATTAATGAACCTCTAGCAACCATAAAACCTCCTTTCAATCTACCAACTGAAAATATTTTTGCTATGAACCAACCACAACCTCAAAATCTCATTCCCACTCCCGCTTATACAATAATAATTTCGCCTGATATCACTCCACCCACCTCACCACAACATACAACACCTCTCTCAACTCCTCAAATTCCAGAACAACAAATTTTTAAACAAACTGAAATTGCTGAACCATCCGTACCTCATGATATATCAGAACCTCCTATTTGTGTTAAGCAACCTGAACCTGAACCTACAAATACTCCTGAAACTAATAGCTTTTTAAGAACTGTAGTGGACTCTCAATCTCTACAATTCTTGAAAAACAAATCTTACAGAACGGTTGTCCCTAAACCTATTCAGCCAGATGTAAATATTTTGTTTCAAAATTTTATAACAAATGTTCAAGCATGGTTACAACCGCTGAAAGAAGATTGCCTCAGAAGTGTGAACACCGCAACAACAAATCTTCTATGGGAAACTTTCAGAAGAACTTTGGTTGCTGAATCACGGAAGTTACAAGATTTGTGCCACTCTCAGGTGTTGGACAACTTTTCCAAACTTCTGCATGTTTTCAAGACAGAAGCTGCTGATACTTGGAATAAGAAGTCTTCGCTACTGATTGCTGATACAACAGCTGATAAGATGGACATATCAGAAGATAAATTTGAAGAATACTCTGAAGATTCAAATCCTCTGGCTATTGTTCTATTGAATCAACCTTCAGTTAAGGATGGACCTGAACCTGTGCCAACCCTTGCAATGGATCTGGGCACTCTGCTCTCCACCTTTGTGAAGTCTGATTCATCAGTTGCTGCTTCTGACCCTGTTTCTACTGAAGCTTCATCATCTTCTGCCCCTACCTCACTCATTATGGACACTCTGAAAGAGCTAAAGAGGGAGAATGAAGTCTTGAATAGACGCATGGATAAACAAGATCAAACAAATCTAGAGTTCAAGAACTGGATGGCAATGCAAAGTGAATTTGCCTCTGAGATCAAGAACCTTCTGATGGCTCTTGTCTCTAAGAAATCCTAGTTTCTTTTTGTCTCTTATTTGGATGTTTTGTTTATACTTCTGGATATCTATTTTTAACTTTTTATGAAATCTTTCAAAATTTCTCATTTATTATACTTTTTGATTATGTCAAAAAGGGGGAGAAAATGTGCTTTTTTGAACTAATCATTTTTTAACAATTATGGGACTATGTCTCAGACATTCTAACAAAATTGCAAGAATTCCTGTGCAAAAGATTTTTGCAGGTATCATTTAACTCTAAAAGAATATTCCAGCTAAGATTTATCTTCTTGAAGAAGTTCTGAAGAAATTCAAAGAAGGCTGTGTATCACTCTGACTAAATAATCTCAGGATGTCTTATGCATAGAAATATTCATTTCAGTGGGAGATTCTTATCTCTTAATCTGTTTCTTTTCTTTATCTAAAATATTTTTTTTGTCATCATCAAAAAGGGGGAGATTGAAAGAACAAGATTAGTTCTGACCTATCCCAAGTGTTTTGATGATAACTAAATTATATTTAAGATAATTTATGCTCTAATGAATGTGTTTTAAATGTCTTAGTTAATGTTCTGACAAGAAACATTCCAAAGTGCTAAGCAAAGATTATGAAGAAGTTCTTTGATAAAAGAACCTTTTATTCAAACGCATCTGCTGACTCTGGTAAGAACATTCATTTGTTAAATGTATCTTCTAACTTCTAGCAGGCTTCTTGATTCTGAAGATAACTTGAAAGCAAGCGCTGTTCAAAGATCTTTGCAAACAACGCTCTGACCAGAAGTTGAATGAAGCATGTTCTGAGTTAAAGCAACAACGTCTTAATCAACGTGTCTTGTCAAAGCAAAGGAAACACGTTCTTACATTCTGACGTTTGCTAATTAATGCAAAGACGGCTGAAAGCACTCAAGTGCCTACAACTTGTTTCTTGGAGAATGGAATTTTGCAAGGATACACGCAAAGCATTTAATGCTCTCCATTTCCTCTAAAAGCAGCAACGGTCTTATTACTCCTACTATAAATAGAAGGACATTTATTGCAAGCTAACAACAACGTTCAAACAAGAAACTACGTGAAAGATTCAAAAGCTTACAAACTCATAGTTCATACATTTTTGTGTATTACATTCTAAGAAAAATCACAATTGTGATATAGCTTGATTAGAAGCAAACTCTATTTCAATTATCTGTAAAGATTATACTTCTGTATTTGTTCCTTGAGAGACCAAGTTTGGTCAGATTTCTCAAGCATACTAGGACTAGATTTAAGTCTTAGTGGTGTTAGTCACTTGTAAGTTTACTTGTGCATTGTTAGTCACAACAGTTGTTGCGTGATTGTAATCAGTTGATTATAGTGGATTAAGTCCTTGTTGAGAAAGGCGAAATCACTTTGGCGGGTGGACTGGAGTAGTTTGAATTCAAACGAACCAGGATAAAAATAACTGTGTTATTCCATTATTGTTTTGAGCTTTGTTTTGAAAGAACGAAAAGAGTCACTTATTCAACACCCCCCCCCCCCCTTTCTAAGTGTTTTCTTACTCCTTCAGTAGGCTCATTTTTTTGACTTGGTCTAACCTTTTTAAAAACATGGCCTAGTCTGAAAACTTATTTAAAAGCCTATTTCTCATTAAGGTTTTCAATAAATTCATATTACTTGAGAAGCCTTATACGTCTGCCTATATATATATATATATATATATATATATATATATATATATATATATATATATATATATATATATATATATATATATATATATATATATATATATATATATATATATATATATATATATATATATATATATATATATATATATATATATATATATATATATATATATATATATATATATATATATATATATATATATATATATATATAAGGTTTTATAGATTTTTTTAATAGCCTAAACTTGATCTATTTAATTAAATAGGCTTTTAAAAAAAACCTAAGTCTGACTTTTTAAGTAAATAAGCATAGCATTGTCTGATCTTAAATAGGTTAGACCATAGGCCCCTATAGGTGGGCCTGACTTATTTTGACCCTTAGTCGAAGGGGATAACTCATTTTTTAAATAAAAAAAACTCACGTATCCATCCTTATTTTATTCAGAAAAAAATTAAATGTGTGGATTTTCAACTATGTGTTGTTTCAAAAATAAGAATAAACAATACTTAATTATTAACTAGAATAAGACCTGTGTGTATCGCGGTGTAAATTAGCTTGTTTATTTTTTATTGAATTTTAAATATATTAAAAAAATTATAAAAAGAATATGATTATTAAATTTATATTACAATTTTTTGTGAATTATAATAGAGATAAATTAATTATATAGACAAAGGTACGTTTTATTTAAAAAGAAAATACATATTTATAAATTGATAGTGAAATTCGTAATTTAGATTTACAAACTTAAATATTTATTAAGTGATTTTTTATTTGTTTTGATTCTCATGTTTTTTTGTATTTATCATTTATTTAGATATTTTATTTAGTTAAAATATGTATTTATTTTTAGTGTTAAATAAAATTAAAATTTTATTTATAATTATTATTAAATAAAAATTTCAATAACTTTATAAATTTATGTATATTTTGTTATACTTATCTGATGAACAAAGAGTTGAAAATGTTAGTTGTTATATTAATTTAATTATTTTTTTAATTTATTTTTTTAATTTTCATTATTGAAATTGTAAAAAAATTATTTGATTTTGTCGTTGGTATCGATTGTAACGAGTGTTTTTTTTAGACATTATCATGATTGTTTTTACTATATTCTCTCTCATTACAATTATAAAACAAAAGAATAAACTACTTTGAAAAAAATTATATTCTCATATGCAAGAAATCATAAATATTGTTGTTTATCTTTAATTTATTATTTAGTATTATATAATAAATATAATAGTAAAATATATAGACACGATAAAAGATTATTGTATATTATATTATATTTTAAGATCAACTCGTAATGACTTGTCTTTTGAAATTGTATAAGAATTATTTTAAAATTAAAAATATTTGTTTCAAGTGTTACTTTTATTTGTTATAATTTCAGAAAAATAAAAAATATTTTATTGTGTTTGAATTATCTGGTCTCTTTTCGTGACCTCTAATTTATAGGAGTATTGTATTTAACATTTTAAAAACGTGAATATAAGTTTTGAGATATATCACATAAGACTATATGATGATGTGACAAATTTTAGAGTTATAATTGATGGTGCGTTGGTTATAATTGATGATGTCTTGTTATAGTTTTCGGTGTATTGAATTAATATATTATATAGATAAATATATTATGATTAATTGTTATTAAATATTAATTATAAGTAAATTATTTAATTGAAGTTGTGTATGAATATATCATGATGGATTAAATCATTAAATTAAGTCAAATAAGAGATTCATAACTAATTATTTAAGTGTTATTTTAAAATTCATTAGAAATTTTAGAGCAATGAGAAAAGTAATTCTCATTGCTTTAGAAAAATCCTAGACGACAATGTTTCTTGTTCTTTTTGCTCTTCTAGCACTGAGACCGCCGGCATTTATTCATGGAATGTCTGTATGCTAGACAAGTCATTTTTTCTTCCATTTTTGGTTATCGCATTCCTTGTAACATTGAGCTTACTGATTGGTTGTTGGATATATTGGTTGTGTGTTACTATCCACAAGACATGGAACGTGCGCAACCTCCTGTTGTATCAACAAGTTATCTCTCCGGTTCGGGTAGTGGAAGAGACTCTTTTCGGTGTGAATGAATTCAACACAAGGAATCCTAAAGTTGGTGCCGAGAAAGACTTGCCTAAGAGTCATTGCGCTGATGCGGTGTCTCATAATGTCACTATTGCTCAGGTTGATGCAGGAGATTTTTCGGATGGTCCGGTATCTTTTGATTGTGTTTTCAAAAATCACGAGTCCGGAATTCTTATGGCAACTAGCAAGAAAGAACATATGCTCCTGATTTGGCCGAGATGCTTGCTATTAGATGGTGTCTCAACATTGCTCTCACCCTCAAGTTGGAAAGGATTATCATACAATCGGATGCACAACCAATAATTGACTGTATTAATTCTGTTGTTGTTGATGCAGTTCTTGATCCTATAAGGGTTGATTGTAGGTTGTATCTTAGTAAATTTAAGGTTGGCACCATCATGTTTTTAAATAGAGAGTTTAGTGGGGCTGGGCAATTTGTATGAGTCTAAAGGTTGAAATACAAACACAATTTCAAATATAATTTCATAATAAATAAGACTAAAATGTGATACTGCAAAGCTGAGAAGAGAAGGCAAATATGGTCAGTTTGAAATCAAAATTCACTTAGCAAGAGAGAGGTAAATGTTATCATTACTAGGAATTAAATATGAATGTAAAGTTAATTTGTATCTCATGTTTAGTATATGCCCCAGCTTAACAAAATGTAAAGATTAAACCACAGAGCAAGAGCAATTCGAAATTTCTGCATATTCAACTAGCCAACATATGTGGTGTTGAATGTTATTCATGTTGTCTTTTTGTCCATTTTAAAACTGTATCTCATAATGATTGAGAAATAATAAAATTTGAACAAATTTCAATATAAAAGTTTATAGAAAAATAGAAGATAAACGGATAAGAAGCTGCGCCGCTACTCTTTTTTAGATCGCAAAATCAATCTTCTTAAAAATTACATTCATATACTTAGGAGATACAACATTATTATTCATAAATCTTTTGGACTCTCTATACAATATTGTTATCTCATAATACATTGTTAAGTTAGCTCCGTGAATATGCTTGATTTTACGTGAATCAGCTTCTATGGGAAGGAGGCATCTCAATAAAGATAACTTTGTATGCGATTATTGAAATTGAGAGTGCAATATCAGTATGTCAAACTGCTTGGAAACAACATACACTTAAATCATCATTGTTTAGATATGCACAATGAGTAGTAGAGATAGAACATAACAAATATTATCATCAGTTAATTTAACTTCGGGTTAACAGTATATCCATCCAAGGCAAAAAAAAGAGTTATAAGGTGAAAAGTGTTGTTTAAAAAAGCATGCAACTTGTAATGAAAATCTTCATGAGACAACTTAAAACTGGTTAAAGATATGAATTTGCTACTGCTAACTACCACTGAATAAAATAACACTTTAACATATTTATATAGTGTCACCTATAAAATCTTACCAACCACGAAAACCTCTAAGTGGGCCCTAGCTTGTTGAAATAGTATAAAGTACTTGATCTTTCTCACTTGCATACAGTGAGGAGTGATAACCCTTCTCAGGTGCATCTAGTGAAAATAGAAATAATTGTCATTCATAATATGGTTAGTTTATAAAAATATTTGTCATAAATTCAAAAGTAGTAAAAATAAAAGACAAACTTAAACTAATATTGCTGAGCCCTGAATGAAGAGGACTCTTCCAAAAACTATCATATGCCGCTAAATGTAATGCCGACACGGTATTCTTTAGTAAAAGGCGAAAGAATAGTTCGCTATGCCATCATCACACGGCTACGTGAATGCTTAATAAAGAGGTCCTTTCATTATATATGTGAGCAGCTTAGTTTGTTTTATGCATTAGACAAAGTGGGACTTGTGTTAGAGACCCACACTGGACCCTACTTTTTCAACACTCGAAGCCTTTCAGTGGAAAAATATTTGGGAGACAAAGACTGTGTTAATGGAATTATGAAGGACGAGTCAAAGCTAATCTAAACCTTTAACCGAGCCAAACATTGACATGAAAATAACATGAAGTAGTTTTATCTTTAAACCAAAAGATATTTTGTTCTGATGACAACAATCGGCACAAAGACAGTGGTTTCACTAAATTTAATAACTAGAGTATACCAATCTACAAGTAACAATTGAATTTCAACGCAAACATAGCACGAGAATAAGAACTCACCTTGCAACGTAGGAGCACATGAGTAAGAACTCACCTTGCAACAGAGGAGCTGTATTGAGCTAAACGATATATTCCATCTTTTAATTAAGTCTTTGAAGACCTCGCCATTTTCTTGATCAAAATCTACCAAGTCAAGTATCCTGTAGAAAAAGAGGCTTTACCTTAGTGAGCTGATGCGTGACAACAGGGTATGCATTCACTATAAAAAGTCATAATCGATCTTCAATGTCTATTTCTCTTAAATTCCTTTCAATTTGATCCTCTCTCTTTTTCAGTTTCATTCACTAAAAAGGTATAACAGCGCATAAGAGGACTTAGCTTACCCTTCTTCACCATGCCTCCCCCAGCTGTGCTTCTTAATGGCAGAATGTGAACTAATATTGCAGAGACCTCAATGAAGAGGACTCTTCCAAAAACTAGCGCATGCCGCTAAATGTAACGCTGACACGGTATTCTTTAGTAAAAGGCGAATGAATAGTTTGCTATGTCATCATCACCGGCTCTGTGATTATTTATCATAGAGGTCCTTTCATTTTATATGTGATCAGCTTAGTTTTTTAATGCGTTAGATGATGTGGGGCTTTAGTCGGATACACACTCATTTGACTTCTACCTTTCCTACCCTCTATTGGAAAGTCTTTGGAAGACAGACAGCATTGATAGAATCGTGAAGGACGGGTCTAGGATAAGCCAATGACTATATAAATCCTGACCTGAAGCTAATCTAACACCTTTATATGATCCAGTGTCTTACATCATTTGTCCAAATATTGACATGAAAATAACAGAGACAGACTAGTTTCATCTTGACCCAAAAGATATATTGCTCCGATGATAACATCAACACAGACAATGACTTCACTAAATTTAATAACTAAAAATTCAATCTAGCAACAGTTGAATTTCCTAGATGAATGAAACTTTATCTAACTGGATACAGTGCTCACACCAGAGTGTGGGAAGGAGACAGCCCCATATCTTCTCATATCTTCCTCTAACATCTTCAAATCCTCATTATTACCCAAGTGTTGCTCAACAAGCTTGAAGAACTCCATCAATTGGGTTTTTTCCTTAATCAAAATGGTTCTTGTCTCTCAAAATTACTCTGCGAGAATATGGCACATTAACCAAACCCTCATTCCAATTAGGTTGTTACAACACGTCCGACTCAGCACTCATAGAGTCATAGTTAGAATTCAGTTCCACAAGTTAGTTGATAAAAGCTTTGTAAATAAACACTTTCTTCAGTTGTAACATGCATTCTGAAAAGTTGAATACATAATTGATCCTCTCTGGTTTAGTTTCATTCACTAATATGGTACAAGAGCTCAGAATAACACTGTGCTTACCCTTTCTTCACCATGCCTCCACGAGCATGCACCCTACCGATCCTACACAAAATCCATACTACATGCATTCTACTAAATGTACTTCAGCACCTATTGTCAACCTCTTCTCAATTGTAAGAAATATCATTCGTGGCCGCATTTCCCAAAGCACATTATTATCAACCCTAAATTATGAGGCATTGCAAAGACTGAATTATAAACTTGAACTAAAAGGCGAAAAAATAGTTCGCTATGTTATCATCACACGGCTTGGTGATTAATAAATGTGGAGGTCTTTTCATTTTATATGTGATCAGCTTAGTTTTTTAATGCATTAGATGATATGGGTTTCGGATAAGCTGACGACTATATAAATCCTTATCCGAAACTAATCTAATACTTTTATATGATGAAAATTTTACTCTGCACCCCATCATTTATCCCCTACCCCTATAAATGATGTGTTTGGACGAAAATATCCCTGTATAAATACTTATACTTTAAAAATTGACTATTTTTTCTTATTTCGTTTAAAGGACCGAGAGATCAAAAATCGAAGAACACAACCAAAACTTGTCTGAACCAAAACTCAGTACACAAACTGGAGAACACGAGGAGAAGTTTGTCGGTTCAGCATACAACACACTAGTAATTTACAAGGAAGTTTTCCAGTTTTCATGAGAGAAAAATTAAAAAACCAAATAACTTAGGTCAGGGTTCTTCGATTCTTAGGAATGCTAACCGGATAGCTTTGAGTCATGTTATATGGTTCTTGATATGGACATTTGAGTAATTTGTGAAAAGGTTATCGGTTCATGGTTTTTTTAACTTTTTTATTTATTTTTAGTGGTGCGCAGAAAAGGAGGCCTAAACGACGATGTTATGGTACAAAGGGGTGAAGGACGACAACGTCGACAGGCGGTGGATGGAGAGGGACATCAGGTAGATGCACCTGAGGTTGGTCCGCAACAACCAAAGTTTCCCGGAGGATCTTACGATACGCCTCTTCTGGTGAGGTATCAGGGTCATGTTGCTCGTCATTTATGATTTTAAGAGGTAAGTTAATCTCTATCATTTTATGTTGAATCATTTTTAATTGTAAATACTTATACTTTATAACATATATCCTAAATTGTTTTTAGGAGAGAACTCCGAAGAAAGGTTTAAAGATTGTTGTACATGGTAGCAAATTGATATGATGGATTCCACACGTTCTCTCATCGGTGATAGAGACTTGGGTGACCAACTCTGGTCTATCCTCTCTCTAGAGAACCAGTTTGTCGAGGATAAATCAAAATCTAGTATCAGCCTTTAGAGAAATGACATCCAAAAACATTGTCCTTTCATATGTCATTTGGCGAGATGACTATAACATTGAACGATGTTTCTTGTCTTCTTCATATACTGTGTAGGGGTGAGTTATGGGACCTTGCATAAGATTTCATTGATATTGATGTTGTTAGTCTAGATATTGATTTGTTGGGTGTTCCTTTGGAGGAGGCAGTTGAGGAGGTTCGTACTTGTAGGGGGTCCTTATTATAAGCTGGATTGGTTGAAGGTGATATTTGTGCGTCAGCGAACTGCTAGTAGATTTGATTGTGCTGCTAGAGCCTATATGTTGTTGTTGTTATGTTGCATCATTCTTGCCGACAAAACTTTTACTCTTGTAGATGAAAAGTATTTACCATTATTTAGGGACTTGGATGGATGTGATAGATTTTACTGGAGGACATGTGCACTTGTCACACTCTACAGATATTTAAAAGATGTTTTCTTCTATACGTGCAAGCAGCTTGGCGGATATGCCTATCTTCTACAGGTACAAAATGTTTTATTTTAATTTTAATTTGACTTATCTTTATTTATTTATAATTATTTTAATTGATATTATTCATGTTGTGTAACAGTGTTAGATTCATGAGTATTTTCCAATTGTTGGTAAGAGAGGATTGTCTGGGATTGCTGGTATCGATAGTCCACTTCCGAGGGCGGTGAAATAGGTTTACAAGCAAGGAGCTCAAAAGGTTGATGAGATTAAGCTTGTGTTAGATACATTGACACTTGCTGATGTCATTTGGCGGCCTTTTGAGGATCATAAATAACATCATTCATTTAATGATATATGTCTATATAAGGATGATTTGAAATGGTATGGGACAGTTGTGCTATATTTACTTGACATATGTATGTGTTAGTTTAGATATAGACAGTACATATCGCGTTCACCTCTTAATACTGACACACTAGATGTGGATGTTGAGTGGGCTGGATATGTTTTGAGCGTGTTGGATGTGATTCGTGAGGCAGTTTTCACCAACCGCCCATATGATGTGGACGATGGTTACTTGGAGTGGTACTATAGGGGGTCACATCCTCGTTTAGTAGTACCACCTTGGGATAAGGTGAGAAAAGTCTTGATTCCTGTCTATGACGAAGGACCTTCAGATCAGAGGCTATCATTTATTTCACATGAGTTTCATCATTTACAACTTCACGAGGTAGATGAGGAGGACGATGAGTTCGCTGAGATATTTTGGTCACTACGTGTAGCTCAGGAAGGACCGATAACTTATGACGATGAGTCTGACACGTGACCTTGTTTACTTCTTTATTATTTTGAGACTTTTTCTATTATTTTGATATTTATGTATTATTTTGAGGCTTATGTATTCTGATACTTATGTATGTTGATACTTCTTTATTATTTTAAGACTTATGCAATAGAATCCAAAATATAACATGAAGTCAAATATAAATATAATTCAAAATGTAACAACCACGTCACAATTATAATCTAACATATTGCGGCACTATAGGTGTAAGACGTTGTCAATCTTGTAACCGTCCGGTAAATCCTATAATCCAAGAAGTTGTATTTTTTGAGCGAAATTTCTTCCAATCCAATGTGATCGCTGGCAACAGAAATCCCTCATTCATGTTTACCTATTTAGAAAATTAATATCAAAAGGAAAATAAATAAGGCATGAATTAAAAATAATTAATTAACTTAACATTATTTGAATATTTAACTACTTGAACCCAATGATTTTCGTTTACAAATTCAATGCAGTAAGTGGACACATTAGGTGAATGTGAAGTCGTCATAGAAAAGAAAGTCAAACTATGATAATCCAAAGAGACGAGAATGACGTTATACCGATTAGCTATTACATAACTCATATCTGGTAATGTCATCCATTTCTCTGGTGGCTGAGGACCTAAAGATGATATCATCATGGATTCTCTCACTATTGAAAAGCGATCTCCAAATAACTGCTCATAGAGACTGCTTCTAGGACCTCTAGTTTCATTATCCAAGTCACGACGAATAATTGACCATCCATCTTCACCATATCCATGCAACGATGTAATAACTCTAAACCCACAATTTTCATCATCATTGACATTAAAAATGTCATTGATAAATAGTCTGATATGATCTGGAAGTTGTACCATGAATTTATTAGATGGTTTCTTCTTGGAGGTTTGGGATAACTGTGAACATGACCTCTTTGAAGATTTTTGAGAACTCAAATTTGCTTGATCAACATACTCATGATATGAAGGGTTACGATAAATATCATATCCCTCAGGTTTCTTCTCTTTCTTCTTCGTCCCTCCTCTAATTTTTATTTTTTCAAGCGGTTGACACATCCTTGTTGTAGTGGGATAAGCAATTTCACACACCCTACTTTTTCGTGCTCTTTTTCCTGCAACATCTAGTGATCTAAACTTTTTCCAAATTGCATAAATTGCATTGGTCATGTCTATCTCTGATCTATCATCTGCATCTACCTCTTGTTTGCCTTCCATACTTAGTTTACTCCAATGTGTATGAATAGCCTCAATTGGTATTGGATCACCACTCAATGTGTATCTCCTAACTCACAAGCACAAGACAACTCATATACTTTTCTATGAGCACACCCTCACTTTTGGTTGTTTGTACCCACAATGCCAATCCTTGACCACTCTTCAGCAATGTGCCTCAAAGCAGCTCTTGATATCGATACACGCAAATTCTCATAAAATGGACTAGTATATGCATGCTCAACTTCATAAAAACTCTTCTGAAATGAAGCTCTAATGTTGCCCAATTGTATCTCGATATTGTCATTCATAGTCTCCCAATATTTACACATATCATCTAAGTTGCTCTCCAACATCTGCTTTAATTTCCAATACACTGACTCAACCCTTAAAAAAACATGTAAGTACTCGTAATATTAAGATAAACAAACTATGGCTAAAATCAAACATACATATTAGTCGTGGTGTTTTCCAAATACAACACTTGATTGATCCATGCTTCAACAAACATATGCCTATGCAGAGTCAATCATGTGTCTTTCACATCATTAAAAAAATTCTTTAAAGTCAACACATGCGTGCTCAAGTTGTTGAAACCGATGATGGTATTCCATCTCATCACTAGCCCTTACAAGTTTATACCACACTTTCTCTATCGACTCTCTCATATCATTCACAACATATTTCTTACACTTTGATTTCACGTTTTTGTTGTGTGAAATCGACAAAGCAAATTAAGTGTCTTTGGAAATACTATTGCTTTTATCAAAGCAAGATTTTAATCATTTAAAATCACTTGTGGCCAAAACCCCTGCTTAGTAAACAATTATTTCAACTTATCGAAGACTCAACAAAAATTCTCTGTCTGCTCAGATTCCATATAGGCAAATGCAACAACAAATGTTAACTCAGTTGACATCATACCAAATACTTCAAACAGAGGTTGCTTATACTTGTTTATCTTGTACATTCTGTCCATAATCAACACATTAGGAAACATATTCAACAGCTTCACTGATTATGGATGGGCCTAGAAAATATCTCTCACTACTTTCGACTCATCTTTTTTTCTACTCCAATAAACATAATTTGAATCCTCTATCAGCTTAAACAAATGTTGCATTCCCGTTCTAAGAACCCTTATGTCTTTCTGTAACTTACTCTTATGTTTATATATTTGCGTGTGACATTCTCCGAATCTCGCTCTTGCAATGACAAAAGTATGTTTCTTGGTGAAATATGATATTTTGTCAAATTAAGGATATGTTGTTGTTCAGCTGCATTTAATCGACCTACAAAAGAATGATCTTCAAATCTATCAGGTAAGCCATGGTTGTGAAGTCCACATTTTACATCAATCTTCCATCCAAAATCATCTTTTGACGGTGTTGACCTAATTTTGAAAGGACAACCACATTTCTTACTAGCACTTTGTGTCTCACTATCTCCTTCTTTATATTTTCCACCTCTATCACAACCAAATATTAATTTGTCACTTCTTCCTCTATTGCTTGTTTTGGTATCTGAACAAGTTATTATAACCGTCACTTTATTCCTGATTCCAACCTCCCTAATCCACCTTGTCGCCTCCTCTCGTGTAGCAAATCTTTGTGTCGTTGAAAATATTTCAGTGGTATCTACGCATGTCTGATTTTTATCACATATCAACAGAATGGAGTATCTGTTAAATATAAATAAAATAAATTAATAAATTAAAAATTAAAAAAATTGCATACTAGAATACTTATCATAATGAAATTCGGTTGATAAATAAATCATCACCGAAAAACATAGATGAATGTTTTTCGGTTAATAGTATAACGAACTGAAAAACATAGACGAGTTATCCAGTTAGAAATTGTGAAACGGATTTCTACGGGGCAAGTTATCCGATGTATGCAAAAAATGAACCAAAATTAATTTAGCAAAGTTATCCATCCAGTTTAGAACCTTAATATACCAAAATTTTGCAATGTAAGTTATCCGATTCGCATAAGTAAGGTACACAATTATCAATTTCGGATGACTCAGATGTACACATATTACATTAATCATTAATTTAGATCACCTAGTTTATGTTGATGAAATATATACATTGCATCCAAACTTTAGAATTTGGATTTTGTCACTATGTCCCAAAACTGAAATTTGAATTGTTTATATTAAATTAAATTGTCTTATGTTATGATTGATTGTAGTTATAGTGCATCAGATTGTTGTCTTTGATGTTACTCTATCTAAGAATGTTAAACCAAGTGATGTTCACGTAGATGTTGAAAAACAATCAAAAATTTATTATACGGAAACATTTTAGTCTTGCATTATAATTAGATTTGACATTGTGATCAGAAGGTCATATTCTAGTACGCCTAAAAGTTTATGAGATCCTTGTATCATAAAAACCCTAGAAACTCTTCCAATTTAAAACATTAAGACATTAAAACCCTAAAAAATCCAAGCTATATGCTTTGCTCTTGTAATAATCAATAGAATTCGAAGCATGAATATAGAAAAGAAGTTTATATGTTAATGGTGTATTTCTCAAAATTCTATAAAATAGAAGTCCACTCTATACCAAGAACTTTAGCCAAAGCTTGCCATAAATTTAACAAAGTTCTACATAATACAACTCCTGCAATTACTATCCGAGCCTCCTTCGGGATTAAATATTGGAATCATGTTGTAAATTCCCAGAAATTCCAAGAATGTTCAAAATTGGGCAAGTTGCTTAATTGCCTAAGTACAACAATTCATTTTATATTTTTTCTATTTTGGTTGAAGAAAAATTGTTGCATATCCTGCAGAGTAGAATCTTCCAAGGAAACTTTTAACAGAGATGACAATTGGGAAGAATGATGAAGTTCAACCAGAAAGGTTTAGGAAAACCACCACCATTTGATGAAGCATGCAATCATAACAGTTAAGGGAAGAAAATTTCTTGTCAACTTCAAGCAACATTAAAGGTGAAGTCTCCACAAACTGGTTTTTAAGAGAAAATCTCATATTATAAAGTCGATCTTTTTAAAGAACGGGGATGACTTCATCCCTTCAACCAGTCTCGAAAGTAAGATTGCATATTTTCTCGAGTAGCAGCATTGCCAACATTCACAGTAGGAATTATCTTGTCAGGCCTTAAAAACTGTTGGAAGATAAAAGATAAATTCTCTTAAAATGCAAGACAGAAAATAATGCAACTATACAGCTAGAATAAAAAATATTATCAAATGTGTATCAAAAAGTAATAGTCATATTCAGTTATGGACCTGAACAAAATCCCGCAGTTCTGTGAAGCTGGAATGCTCACTGTAGGGAACCCCTAGAAAAAAAGGAGAAATGGGAGTTGTAAGCAATTTCATATTTTATATCAAGTGTGACCATTGAACCGCAGCTAATCTTACCATATATCGTGATATTTCCTTTGGAAACAGGTTTAATTAGTTCCAAATCATTTCCTATCTTCTCACTAAAAGTCCAACCTGAAAATACAAAAGATATACATCAAAACTAGAACTATTCTATCAGCACAAATAGCTTCTCCATAGAATAATTGAAAATATTCGAAGACGATCAAGAAGTCATTTTCATTAAAATTTCTGGTAACATACCTGTTGGACGAAATGCTAATACTGATGTGAATTGTTCCTTGTAGGTTTTCAAATATTCTTTCAAAGTCTAATGAAACAAGAAAAATATGGATGGTGAATTATGAGATAACAGCACAGAATAATAAGAAAAAGCATAAACTTAGATTAAAATGTAATGGCACAAAGTTTAACCTCAATTCTCAGAGATGACATGGGCATAACATGGAGGAGGGTGTTATTTCCATTTGTACAGAGCCTATCTGAATAGTCAGGGCAATCATAAGCTAGCAAAATCCTTCTTCTTGAAGCATTTGCATAGATTTTTACCTGAATCGAGAAGAGCCACAAAAATTATTAACGAATCAAATAGTCTAGGTGAAGACAACCTAAAGCCATGTATAATTAGTGTGTAAAAACAATCTACAGCCCATGAAGAGGCACCTGATAAGAGTCGTAACAGAAATTTTTCTAGAGAAAAAAAAAATCACACTTACCCCAAGTGCCTTAGAAATTGCAAGATATACACATTCTTTTCCAATACTGTATGCCCCAACAACCACTAAAGTTCTAGGATGCATTTTGAGGCGGTTCTTTGTAATTTTGACAACATAGTTTAGTACATCTTCCTTGAAAGGAAACCTGAAGAAAAAATTTGTTGCTAAGAACCATCAATTTATGTTTAAAGAGCCAAATATATTGTAACCAGATGACAAATCTATTCAAGTTTTTAACATGATCAGTGTCTTACTTGTACTTTGGGTTGCAATACGTAGTATCCAGATATAGTACATTCACACGTTTATGTACAAAAAGATGGTAGTCTTGCATCAGTTTACAAGCTCTAAAGTCCCCGGTATGCAAATAACATTGTCCATTTGGGAGCTCAAAGTGAATCAAAGCTGCACCAGGGCAATGGTTAGCATCTATCAGAGTCACTTTGATACCATCAATCACATATTCAGTGTCAAATTCCAAAGGGCATATGTACCTATACAAACAAATAGTATAAAAAGCTAATCACTTCATTGAAATGGAAAAGACAAAATAATTATCAAGTGCACTTTGATTTTTCTGTTTGTGTAAGCGAGTAATCTAAACAGAAGGCATAAAAGATAGAAGAGTTTCTGAGTTCTTACGAAGGATTTACATAGAGACACATTTTAACCAGCCGTCCAGTAAGTGGAGAGCAATAAATAGGACCATGTGACCATTTCTTGCTAAGACCACCATAGTGATCAGCATGGAAATGACTAAGAAAGTACGCAGAGCACCCCTCCACACATCCATAACGAAAAGCATCAACTGTGAAGTTTGTTCCTGCATTGGCAAATAGACTAAACTTCAGAAACTACACAGTTTTTTCTTATCATAACAAACCAAAAAACATATCAACATGTAAATATTGGCAAACTGATTTTCCAACTCAATTTGTTCTTTGGATTTTCCACACTCACACAGTCACAGTCGTCTAGTCTAAAACCAGCCACTCAAGATTAAATTCCACTTTAAGCTATGTAACATTGACACTTTAGCCCATTTCTACAACACGGACACATGTAGCAACATTCAAACTGTTTTGTATTCTAATCTATGAAGCACAGACTCCAACACCGTCGGAACACGATACGGACACTCCAACACCGATATATAAACAACATAGGACACCGATACTGCTACATATATGATAGTATTTGAGCTTCATTTATCCATGTATTATTAAAAAAATTCAAAATATTCTAATCAAAATTAATGTCTTTAATTTAACCCTTTTAGATAAATTTGTCTAAGAGATGTATAAAGTGTCTTGAAGGAAATAGAAAAACAATTTTTTTAAAACATCCATCTGAATTGTCCGACGTGTGTTGTGAGACTATCATACGGGTGTCAAAAACATATTCAAAGTGTGTCGAAGCAAAGAAAAAAACCATTTATTTGGGACACTTCTCTTATTTTTCGGACACATGTTTGATTTTTTAGACACGTGTCGTACGGGTGTCATACATGTGTTGGACACCGTAACACGCCTATTCCTAGAGATGGCCGAGTCTCATAGATTCTAATTACTTTACTAGTGTCTACATGTTAGTGTAAGTATTGTGTGGGATGGCTGACCATTATTCATAGGTTTTAAGTTTGTATCTTGGACCAGATTTCCCATGGTAATGCATATAGAACATCAGATTACACATTAGGATAACGTAAGAAAGAAAAAGCTTTTCAAAAACATTGATATTCCTCTTTTGGTTAAAGGTTAGACTTTTGAACAAAATATAACTTGGAACTGCTTTTAACCTAAAAAAGTAACAAAGTTGAATCAAACTATCAATAAAATAGAAGGAAAAAAAAATCCATTTCACCTGGCATTTTCTTGTAAAAAGGACACGAACGCGTGACCCTATTATCTCCATGAAAACTCTTTCTCTTACTAGAAGAATTTGATTTCTCAACCACTTTCCCTTTGTGACCCAAAATCGAACCCCAACTTCCAGGTGTAACAATCTTCTTCTTCTCAGATGAAACACTTCCCTCACCTATATCATCACAATAACCACCTTGTTTGGATTCAAATTCAACAGAACCACCAACTCCAACATTTCTCTTGAATCCCCAAATCTGGAATAGATTGGCCTGCTTCAGTTTCTTCCCGGAAGATAACGAATCGGGCGTGAACGTGAGCGTGAGGTCCCTGTGTCGGTTAGCGTCTGGCGATAACAGCGACGAGAAATCAGATCCGGAGCGGTAGAAATCGGAGGCGAAACTGCTTTTCTCAGATTCGTTTGGTGAAGGGTCTTCCCCTGGGAGTTGTGACGGGAAGCCCTCGTCGTCAAGTAAAAAGCACTCGAACGAAGCGCCGTCGTTGTTTGTGTCGTGACATCCGCCGTCGTGGCGTAAGCATCCGTCTTCTAATTCCGGTGGAGGGGAGGCGGTGGATAACGACATCTCTTTCATACCGGCGCGAAAAGCATTGAAAGTGAAATGGGGATTTGGTTTTTTAAATGAACCAGCGGGAAGATTAATGATTATTTTTCTCCCGATTTTAGTATATGAAATATAATGAAAGGATTAAGAATATATTTAATCCTTTGTAGTGTTAGTCATTGAATTATTTTTAAAATAGAAAAGAAAGTGAAGTAGTAAGACGATAAGTTAAAAAATAGAGTACCTCCATATTTCCTCAAAAAGCAATCTTAAACAATAATTTGTTTGATGATTCTCTCTATTTATCTTACGTGTTAACACACGTGACATTTTTTATTTTTTAATTATTTTTGAAATTTCACGTCGTATTTTTTTTAAATTATGACTTATTTATTTAATTTTTATTATATTTTTTTATTTAATTTGCTTATGTTTGTTTATATATTATACTTTTTATATTAATATTTATTTATATTTTTCTTAAATTATTTTTCTTAAATTATTTTTATTGATATTTTTTTTAAATTATAAAAATATCACGTTTGGGTCTAAATTCATTTTTGTTGCAATAGCAACCATTTAGTCGGATTATTTTCAATTCATTAACGATCATGTGTGTTAACACATATGTTGTAGCGGTTGTCACCATTTTTACAAGTGGAAACACTACACAAAATAAAAGAGGAAGAGTAAGATAAGAGAGGAAGAGTTTTAAGGTGTTGAAATCAGCTAAACTCACCGTTCCAATTGGGCCTTAGATATTTTCTCTTTTCTTAATCTTCATTTTAATATGTTAATAATGATTTACTGCTAATTATTGAAAGTGTTTAAGGAAATTGGACCGGAAGTGACATCTGGACCAAAATACTTTGGGCTGAACAGTTTTTGGAAATCAATTGTTGCCAATAAAAAAACTGTTTCATGGGCCCTTTCGCATAGGCCTAGCGCCCAAATTTCTGGTGGCTATACAACACTACTCTCTACAGTTTACACCCCCTGACTCTTCTAACTTCCTTTTTATTTTAGTTTTCTCTTTTAGTGTAATTTTGTTCTCTTAATTGATAATAAAAATGATACAAAAATATTAGAACATTTTAGAATGCTTTAGGACCTCTCTTTAGAATTTTCATTAGAGTTTTCTATAATTTTCATGTTCGATAATCATTTTTATTGTCATTTTTTAGCTAAGATTTTGTGGTAGAATATTGATGTAACTTTTATGATATGGGATGCTTGGATATTTATTCGTTTGATCACTTATGTGAAACAGTTTCTGTAGAGTTTTCTATTTGCTTGTGTGGCTTCGAAGAGGAAACAAACCTTCTCCGTTAGGTATCATTGTGACTTTGTTTT